ATCTTCCTCATCATCATCATCATCCTCATCATCATCATCATCATCATCATCATCATCATCATCATCATCATCATCATCATCATCATCATCATCATCATCAATGAGTTCCTCACCCTGCATCAGGGTATAGGCCACGAAACAAACACCGTCCACATTTCCGTTTTCTGGGCTGGCCTCTTGATATTTTCCATGTCTTCCCACTTTTCTGTATATTCATCATTCTATCATTCTCTGTGACTTTTTTCAATCCCCCCCCCCCAAAAAAAAAAAAGAATACTTTTAAAGTATTTTTTAAAAATAATAATAAATAACTAAAAAAACAAAATATCGCCCTTTAAATAACCTTGCAAGTAGTGGTGTTAAGCCTTTAACATTTACTATTTTTGTCTCCCTTCTCCTTCTCATAAACTTTTTCTCGTCCAGAAAGTTTCCCACCAGCCTCTTGTGTAACGATCAGGCTCTTCGCTGTCACAGGTTGGAGACTAGAGTTCAATTCCTCGAGGAATGAGAAATGTTTATTGAGTATCTCTGTCGGTCTTTCTTCGGGGGAGTTGTATCCCTCCCAACCCGGGATTGGTTCTGAAGAGTATGGTCGGAATCGCGCCTCATAAATGATTAAAATTGTATCCATGGGGCGTAAAATCACCTCAACTAAAAACTAAAACACTTCCCGCCAGGAATGGTACCCTTCCAAGGGGTCTTCGAGTAAACTGGGCTTTGAAAACTGCAGCTTGAATTTAACATCTTGATTGGACTAGAGAAGGCATTTTTCCAGAAGTAAACAAACAAACACACAAACAAACATACTGGAAAAACACACAAACAAACAAACAAAAACAAAGCAGACTTTTAAGGAAAGCTAATTGTTTACACACAATATCTGAAACATCAGAATTCTAATTGGACAGACAAATCAGACGTAGGAACGAAAGCCACCAAACTCAGTTCGTAAACACAATATAATATAAAAAGAAACCGAAGCGAATTCAAATTCAAATTCTACTGAACTTTTAATCTCCATTCATATAATATTCAATTTTCAAGTTGAATCAAACGATTAATCATTATTCTTTCAACAGAACTTCAAAAACATTGCAAAGATAATGTAACAAAAGAGTTCTCAGTAGAAACCATCATCTCTTCAACAAAAGGCTAAAGGCTGTTTTAACAGCTCCTCAGAAGTAAACGGAAAATTCACATGCGAAAAGAAATTCACTACATGTACAACAAAAGACGGGTACATATTATGAAACAATATGTCTGTACAGTGGTGTCTTTGCAGCTGCATTTATGTACATCCTAGATACGATCACAAAACGTTTCGTCATAATTCTTAACTTATGTTTAGGTTGAGTAATATTGAGAATTAAGAACTTTACAGCACTTGCAACACAAATATGTCATATAAGTGCCAAAGAGTAGAAGTGTTGCTGGAGAGAGACATGACATAAAAAGAAAAGAAAGAGGTGAGAGAAGGACGATGGATGTTTGATAAAAAAGTTGGAGCAAGTTTTTAACTTAGTATGCAGAAACCTTGTTATATAGCATGAAAAACTGTCTCATTTATTAGTCATTTTGTAATCGGGAAAACAAATACTACAGATTATTTATTTTTTGTGCGTTACGTGCGTCTGCTTGGGCTTGTGTCTCTGTATGCCAGTGAGTTGGGATTGGGGTGGGGGAGGGGGGGGGCGGAGATTACTTGTTTGTCCGTTTTCTTTGTTTCCCATTGCTCCTTTTTGAGCAAATTGAAAAGCAGAGAAACCCTAGATTGGAGCATGATGTCAGTTGAACGAAACATCTCAAAGAAACAAGCGCGTCTATTTTTTACAACAGGAGTAAACAAAACTGCGATGTTTTCCTCAGACTGCCCTAGAATTTCAGTATCCTTCAAACATCATAAAAACACATGATCCCGCTCTCAGTTTCGACAAAAATCGCGCCATCGAGCTTGCTGAAAGTGGCGCATTTTAGAGTGGCTTGGAATTTTTACTGCTACAGAAAGAAAGCATCGAGAAAAGAGAGGTTTCAGGACGG